TCGCTCCGGCTCGGCCCGCAGGGGTGAGGGGGAGCCATTAAAAAAAAACAGACTTTTTTTTTATTATTCTTCCTCTCGGGCTTTTCAGCCCTCGGGAGTCGCATCTTTGAACGCTTCTTCTCCAGCACGGGGCCAAAGAAGGGCCGATCCAGCAGCTGGGTTGCTAACGAGACTTGGGTTTGCTTCCCCGCTCTGCCACGTGTTTCCTTCAGGGCCTTCGGCAAGTCACTTGGTCTCTGTGCCTTGGTCTCCTGTCAGCAGGCTGGCAGGACAGCAGTACAGCGTGCAGGGGGCTGAGAGGATGAGCACGCCAGCGGCTGTGAGGCGCTGGGATAGCCTGGCAATAGGAGGCTGGGTTAGAAACCAGAGGTAGCTTTCATTTTTTTCACTTCTTTTGAAATTCATGCTGAAATTCTTGCCTAAACCCGGCTCCCTGGGGTGGCCCTGAGGAAAGCACCAGACTTGCTGTTAAAATGGCAGAAGTTGGCAACTTGGACTGCATTAACTAGGAGTGCGAAAATTGTTCATCATGTCTCTTCCTGGCTTGTATTGTGCTTTTTTTTTTTTTTTTTTTCCAGTCTCAAATGAAAACTGTGGTAAAAAAATAAGGCTTATCAAAGGGCTGGGCAATTATTTTCGCTGAAGGGCCACTTAACGAGTCTTGGTGAGCTGTTGAAGGATGCACACGCACAATCTTTTAGAAAATACTATTTCAACAAATCATAGATGAAAAACAAATTGCATAGTAAAAATCAAATATCTACTATAACATATTTTAATTTTATTTAAAAATGTTTTTTCTTGACTTATTTTGAGTAATGTATATAGAAGAGATTGCATAACAGCTCAAAATGGTCTTACTCTTGTATATTGTGCCGGGGCACCTGGGTGCTAGGTCCCAGGGGCTGGCCGGGGTGGGGGGAGGAAGGGGGCAGGGGTGCGGGCAGCAGAGCTCACCTGGGCAGTGGGGTCCACAGCTCCTCCCACATGAGTGAGCCTTGCCCAGGGCAGTCAGCGCTGCACTCCCACCCTGACCCTAGCCATGCAGAGCTTCCCAGTGGGGCTGCTCCCAGTGCTGCTGCAGCTGCTCAGGGACTGCTTGGATCCCCCTGCCTGCAGCAGCTCCTCCTGCTGCACCGCTCCAGGCAGGGATAAAACTTCAGCCAGGTGGCTCCTATCCCAGTGTGTAAGGCTTTGACTCCAGTTCCTAGCTGCCTTCCCCAGTACATGGGGCTTTGGCTCCAGCTCCCAGCTGCCTTCCACCCACTTGACCACCCACAGGTTGCTGCTCATTGCATTGGACGGGCAGAGTGGGTGGAAGGTGGCCAGGAGCTGGAGCCCTGTGTGCTGGGGCAGGAGCTCCCCAGTTACAGCTTGCCATCCCCCTCCCCCTCCCTGCCAGCCTGGAGCAGTGAGGGGGTGGGGAGTAGAGTAGCACCTGGCTGGATGCAGCTGTACTGGGAGCAGCCCCACCAGGAAGCTGTGCATGCAAGCTGTGGGTGGGAGCACAGCCCTGGCTTCCCTGGGTGAGGCTTGGCTCCATGCATAGTGCCTTGGGAGCAGCCATGGACCAGATCCAGTCAACTGGCAGGTGCCCCCCAGGGGCAGGATCCAATCAGTTGCAGGGCCCAATCCAGCCCCTGGGCCATATTTTGCCCACCCCTGTGTAATCTTAAAAAATGTGAATGTTGAGGACAACTCCTTCCCACTATCCAGATAGAGAAAGGGAGGGTTAGAATTTAGACAGGATTAGAATAGGGGATATATTGCATGTCCTACTCTCGCACTGAAGAAACTAGACCACGCTTAGCTCCAGATTGGGAAAACAGACACTTTCCTAAATCGCTGCAGCCAGCGAGACTCAATTCAAACAAACGGCTCAGGCTGAAGTCCTGTTTGCCTTGAGGAGACTGAATCATGTACTTCATGTTAAGCAAGTGCTTCCCTGCTTCCTTGAATTTGGCTTTGTGCACAGCCCAATTGGCAAAATCCCTGTCAGCTTTCCAAAGGAGACCAGTTAAAATAGGCAGTTTAAAATAGGCAAATGGGGTTAACAGGCAAGCTGGGGTATCGCTGAAATCCTTTCATCTAGAGTTTATTTTTTTTCTCTCCCCTAATATCATGGTTGTATCGGACCTCTTGAATCTTCCCTCCCCACTCAGTGCAAGGCACAGATTTCAAATATGCCCCGTGTGTATTTTGTCTTTGCCAAGAAATGCTCCCAAGGGGCATGTCCAGATGAGTGCACAGATGTGTTTCCCTGGGGACAGGTAGCAGCCGTACAAAGTTGTGCTGCTGCTCCTTGTCCCCAGGGAATGCCCGTGCATGTGTGCTGCAGTATGTGGCAAGTTGCCCCTGGCAGGGTAGGGGAGGCTCGAGCCAGCACCTGAGCTGGCCCCAGCAGCCTTACACGGGGTTGTTGGGGGCCTTGGAGGGGCTGCAGCCACAGTGATCTGACAGCAGGGAGCCTGGCTAGCAGCCAGAGTGTGGTTCTGGCTGGCCAAACTCCAGTTTCGGGCAATGCACACTGCCGCCACGTGTACCACCCTGCTTTTTTTTAGGTGCTGGGATGGGGGGGTTTACACCGGGATCTCCCAGTATCAGCTCCCTCCCCCCAGCATTGCAAATTAGTAGTACGGAGAATGTCTGCACGTGCAGTGCGTGAATGCTGCAGGCTCATCTGGACTCACCCAAGCGTTCCTAAACCCTTTGTCTGTTAGGTCTCCAGAACATGGGCTCTGTGCGCGCAGAACGGATTGTGCCTGTGGTGGTGGGAGAGGATATTGCCTGCTTGTTTCTTATGAAGTGCTGGGGGCAGCCTGCCTGGCAGTGTGATGCATCTTGTGTTTCTCCTCCCTTGGTGTCCTGTGTGTGGCTTTAGTGTAGCAACACAGGCTGAAGCAGCCTTTAAAGGAACTGAAGGCATAGGCACCTGATGGAGTAACTACAATGGCAAGAGGAGAGGATGCTGGTGTGAGAAGACTGGCAAGTTTTCCATCCTGAGTGAGTAGTTTGTAGCAGAGGAAGAACAGCCTCATAGTTAAGTCAATGCATTAGGTCTCCTGGCATGCAGGTCTGAACAGGGTGGTGTCCTTTTCTTTGGTCTTGTCTATGTGGATCAGAAGTTCCTTAGGATGGCAGCTTTCTCCTGTTATGTGCCTATACAGCACCTGGCAAATAGGGAGGCCCCTGCACTTTTTGGTTGCAAACGATATAGCAATAAAAAGCAATTTTAAAAAAATTGGGTGCTGAAAAAGAATTATTTCAATCCAGCTCTGGTATAATTCCTACCTTACCAGGACCAGTGTTACAGCAGGGGATGAGAGGCAATTAGTGAGATGCTATCATTCCTCACAGGAAATGTCCTGTAATTGGAGGAGGAATAAAAAGTTCGTTAGATTATAACTGCAAACAGGCGCTGTTGATAGCACTGATGTGTCAATGAGTTCAAAAGATTTCAACATGTACCTCCATGTGTATAACAACAACCCAGTAATATGAGTCACAGATGTTAATTTGCAGTGGGAACAATCCTACTTTCTTTTCAATTCAGTCATAGAACAATCATCACTTGTTGCAGAAAATAACTCTCAGGAGTCAAATATTTGAAAGCTTCCGGAGCCAGGCAGATTTCATGTTCTTGTTAATTATTATTATTATTATTATTATTATTATTATTATTATTTTAATATTGACTGCTGAAGGCCACAATTTTATTCCTCAAGTTGATATCGCTTTAAAAGACAAAGATGTGCACAGCAGCTTCTGCAAACTGGTTTGTCAGGTATTCTGATATCTGAGGTGAGGGACCATATTCTGTCCTCAGGCAAAACTTCCCTAAGGAGCTTGGTCTTTATTCTCAAGATTTTGAGAGAGATCACCGCTGAGCTCACCAGTGTGGGGCCAGCTGGATTGGTCTCAAGGGGCAATGGTTGCAGTCTCAGAGCAAACCAGAAGGGCTGCATTTATTTACAACAGTGCTCATTTTCCCAGCGTCAGTGTTTGAGTGATAGCGTTTACAGTAAAAGGAGCCTGGAGTCGGGGAGATTAAGTTAGAAAGGAGGAAGGGGGAGGTGCTGCTCTGGTCTAGTACCCAAGTCGAAGGGGAAATTTTGAAGTATTTCTTCTGTGAAACGCATGTGTATTGAAACAATAGAAATCATATTGTGGTGGCACAGCAGAAAAGAATGGGTCCCCACTGACACGCAGCCCTGAAATTCTGCACACGTTCACCTCCTCCTGGTGACTATTTTTACATTTTCTTTATTTTAATTTAATTTTTAGAGTGATTTCAGCTTCCCTTGTGGCTGCATTTGAAATTCAGATAATATCTTAAGTGACTTGTGTTTCAGTAACAGGTAATATTTTAAGTACTTGTGTTCCAGTAGCATCTGTCATCTACTCGGGATCTTTAAATGTGAAGTGATCCAGCTTTTCAGTAGGCAGTGGCCTTGAAGATCTGATCAATAAAACTACTTGGTCCACACCATCAGTAAGAGTAGCATCCCCCTCCCCGGTCCCTGCCCTGATCAGTTCAAAGCATGAAGAGATTTAAAAAATACAGACACACTAGGTTATACCTAGGTCATAAGATCCATCTTTTTCAATTGATCTTCTAGGGCAGCAATTCCCAAACCTTTTCCAGCCATTATTTACATTTGGGTAATTTCATTTGAGTCCATACATAATGTTACTACTTTTACTATTGTAAGCCCTGCAGTTAACAAGGAATGGGATTGTAGTGCCTCAGCTTCTCTGCTGTTACTGTCTCCAATGCCTGCTTTTACCTCATGGTTCAAGTTAAACCCAGGGTATCTTATCCCTGAATGAAACTGGGCTAAATCAGCCTGGTTTAACTACCACTTACCATGAGGTAAGAGTGGACATGGGAGTAGGTGCTGCAGAGCCACTGAGGTTCAGTGAATGGCTGCTCCTAGATAATTAAGGGCTTATTGTGTATTGGTGCCACTGAGCACTCAGACGCAACATGCAGCTTTGCATATGCTATGCTCTGATCTAAAAGCAATAGAGCTGGGTTTATGCAGCACAAAGATAGGTGAGCTAAAATGGCAGCTCCACACAAATGCCGCTACAGTGTTTCTGGTTTGGGGGTGGTAATGTGGGCACAGAGTAACATGGCATGTCTGAGTGCATTGCTGCCTGGCACAGCATGATCATGGTCTACATGCCCTCCTGATCTAGTGTTAGCTGATTAATTTCATGTAGGAGTGGATTTGAAGGAGGGACAGGTAAGACAGGATGTTCTTTGGGCATCAGTTCATGAGCAGTGTTCCATGTATGGGGAAGGGTAAAGCTGTTTTTCATTTTAATCTGTGACTGTTACAGATCTTGGTTACGGAGTTAAGTGT